GGCGTATGTCCGTGATTCTAGTGCTGAGGTTCCTTCTATGGATTCTGTGCCTGTTGTTCGTGAGTTTCCTGAGATATTTCCTTCAGACCTGCCGAGCATGCCACCCGATAGAGATATTGACTTTTGCATTAATTTGGCTCCGGGCAATCAGGCCATTTCTATCCCGCCATATCGTATGGCCCCAACAGAGTTGAAAGAATTGAAAGAACAGTTGCAAGACTTGCTTGATAAAGGCTTTATTAGGCCTAGTGTCTCGCCTTGGGGTGCACCGGTGTTGTTTGTCAAGAAGAAGGATGGATCGATGAGGATGTGCATAGATTATCGGCAGCTGAACAAGGTCACAATCAAGGTCAAGTATCCATTGCCGAGGATTGATGATTTGTTTGATCAGCTTCATGGTCCCAAGGTGTTTTTGAAGATTGATTTGAGATCTGGATACCATCAGTTGAGGATTAGGGCATCCGATGTCCTTAAGACAACTTTCTGCACTTGGTACGGGCATTATGAGTTCTTGGTGATGTCATTCAGGTTAACAAATGCCCCAGAAGCTTTCATGGATTTAATGAATCGAGTGTTCAAGCCTTACTTGGATTCATTCATGATAGTCTTCATTGATGATATTTTGATTTATTTCCGCAACCGGAAGGAGCATGAGCAACATCTGAGAGTTGTTCTTCAGACTTTGAAAGACAACCAGTTATATGCTAAGTTTTCGAAGTGTGAGTTTTTGTTGGGATCAATTGCTTTCTTGGTTCATGTTGTATTATCAGAGGTTATTCAGGTGGATTCGAAGAAGATAGAGGCAGTCAAGGACTAGCCTAGACCCGCATCAGCTATAGAGATCCAGAGTTTCTTGGGTTTGGCGGGCTATTACCATCGGTTTGTGGAGGGTTTTCATCTATTGCAGCCCCGATGACCAGGTTGACCAAGAAGGGTGCCCAGTTCAGGTGGTCGGGCGAGTGTGAGGCGAGCTTTCAGAATCTCAAAACAGCTTTAACTACAGCAGCGGTGTTGGTTTTACCCACAGGTTCAGAGCCATATACAGTGTATTGTGACGCATCTCGTATTGGACTTGGTGCGGTGTTGATGCAGGATGGCAAGTTCATTGCTTATGCTTTGTGACAGTTGATGATTCATGAGAAGAATTATCCAATTCATGATTTGGAGTTAGCAGTCATTGTTCACGTGCTGAAGATTTGGAGGCACTATTTATATGGCATGTCATGTGAGGTATTCATAGATCACACGAGTCTATAGTACTTGTTTAAGCAGTAGGATCTGAATTTGAGGCAGAGAAGGTGGTTGGAGCTATTGAAAGACTATGATATCACCATCTTATATCATCCGGAGAAGGCCAATATAGTAGACGATTCTTTGAGTAAAAAGTCAGTCAGCATGGCAGTCTTGCGTATATTTCAGTCAGTGAGAGACCGCTTAATTTGGATGTTCAGGCTTTAGACAATCGGTTCATGAGGTTGGATATTTTTGAGCCCAACCATATGTTAGCTTGTACAGTTGCTCGTTCTTTATTATTTGATGATCCTCATTTGTGTGTCCTTAGGGACATAGTGCGGCACGGTGGTGCCAAGCAGGTTACATTAGGAGATGATGAAGTATTGAGGATGCAGAGTCGAGTTTGTGTGCCTACTGTGGATGGACTTCGAGAGTTGATTTTAGAGGAGGCCCATAGTTTTCGGTACTCTATTCATCCGGATACCGCTAAGATGTATCGGGATTTGCGGCAGCATTACTGGTGGAGGAGGATGAAGAAGGATATTGTTGCATATGTGGCTCGGTGTTTGAATTGTCAGCAGGTAAAGTACAAGCATCAGAGACCTGGTGGTTTGTTTCAAAGAATTGAGATTCCTTAGTGGAAATGGGAGCGTGTCACTATGGACTTCGTTGTTGGGATCCCACAGACTTAGAGGAAGTTCGATGTAGTGTTGGTTATTGTTGATAGGCTGACCAAGTCAGCGCATTTCATTCCTGTGGAAGTTTCCTATTCTTCTAAGCGGTTGGCAGAGATCTATATCCGAGAGATTGTTCATCTTCATGGTGTGCCCGTGTCTATCATTTCTGACCGAGGTACGCAGTTTACCTCACATTTCTAGAGGGTAGTTCAGCATGAGCTGGGCACACGGGTCGAGTTGAGCACAACATTTCATCCTCAGACGGACGGGCAGTCCGAGAGTACTATTCAAATTTTGGAGGATATGTTTCGAGCTTGTGTTATTGACTTTGGAGGCTCATGGAATCAGTTCTTGACATTGGCGGAGTTGGCCTACAACAACAGCTATCAGTTAAGCATCTAGATGGCTCCCTATGAGGCATTATATGGTAGGCGGTGTCAGTCGCCAATTGGATGGTTAGCTAGGAGAGACTCGGTTGTTGGGTATGAATCTATTACACGATGCCTTGGACAAGGTTAAGATCATTCAGGATAGGCTTCGTACAGCTCAGTCCAGGCAAAAGAGTTATGTCGACCGTAAGGTTCGTGACGTGGCATTCATAGTCAGCGAGTGGGTATTGCTTTGAGTGTCGCCTATGAAGGGCGTGATGATATTTGGGATGAAGGGCAAGCTAAGCCCTAGATTTATTGGTCCTTTTGATATTCTGGATCGAGTGGGAGAGGTGGCTTACAGACTTGCGTTGCCTCCGAGTTTATCAGCCGTGCATCCAGTGTTTCATGTGTCCATGCTTCGGAAGTATCATGGTGATCCATCCCACGTGTTAGACTTCAGCACTGTCCAGTTGGACAAGGACTTGTCCAATGAGGAGGAGCCAATAGCTATTCTAGATCGGTAGGTTCGTCAGTTGAGATTGAAGAGTTTTCCTTCAGTTCGTGTTCAGTGGAGGGGTCAGCCTGTCGAGGCAGCGACCTAGGAGTTCGAGTCTGATATGCGGAACCGATATCCCCATCTTTTCTCTAACTCAGATACTTTTTTTATGTCCGTTCGAGGACGAACGATTGTTTTAGAGGTGGAGAATGTTTTTGGGTTATCACTCATTTTGAAAAGCAAATTCTATATCTTGAGGCCTTGAAAACCTCTTTTTGTCTTACCTTGATTTGCATGCGCAGTCCGGGCACGTTTCCGGAAAGCTTTTATGTGAATTATAAGAAAATTTATGAAATTGGTCTTTAAAATTGATTAAAGTTGACTATGGTTAATATTCTTAGTAAACGGACCCGGACCCGTGATCCGATAGTTTCATAGGGTCCGTAGTAAAATTTGGGACTTGAGCGTATACCCGGAATCAAATTCCGAAGTTCCAAGACCGAGAAAAGAATTTTTGAAGAAAATTATTTGCTGAAAAATATAAAGGCTTTTAGAAGTGAATTAATGCAATTTCTTGATGGTATCAGGCCCGTATCTTGGTTCAGGAGCCCGGTACAAGTTTAAATTAATAATTTGGTGCGTCTATGGAATTTGGTAAGAATCAAAAGTGGTTTGGTATAAAACGGGCCTATAGTTGAGAGCAAATGGAAATTTCAATGTTCTTGAGTAATTGTAGGAATTTGAGGTTGAATTCGTAGTTGTTGATGTTATTTTGATGATTTGATCGCACGAGCAAGTTCGTATGATATTTTTTGACTTGTGTGCATGATTAGTTTGGATCCCCGAGGGCTCGGGTGAGTTTTGGATGGGCCACGGAGTGAATTTAGACTTAGAAAAATAGCTGTTGCAGGTTCAGAGAAGTTGCAGGTCTCTGAACTGAGCTTCGTGGTCCGCAGTGAAGATTCGCGACCGTACTGGGGTCTTCGCTGCCGCGGTGGGTGATATGCTGGAGAATTTTGGCACATTTAATACAAATTGCTTAGATTTTAGCATGTTTTAAATCCAATTATCTTTTATACTTATGTAATTTTAATGTTTTTGCAGTGTATGAGATTTAAGGACCTAAGAGCATGGAAATGAAATCAAAAAGCCACGAAAGGACAAGAAAAGAGCAAAATGCGATCGCGAATATGGAAATGTGGACCGCAAATCCAACATGCGGATCGCATAATGCTCAAAGGAATCGCAAACCCCAATAGTTTGTTGGCCAAAGTCCAGTGCAAGAAATGCGGTCCAGTATGCGATCGCATAACAGGTTTGCGAGCCACATAATGGACCGCAAACTCGTTGTGAAAGCTGCTGAAGGTGGAAAATGCAATGAGAAATGCGATTGCATATCTACAATGCGGACCGCAGAATGTGAATGCGATGTATGCCTGGAAACTAGGGTTTGAAAATGCGATGGCCATGAAGAGAATGCGGACCGCATGTCTGTTATGCGACAGATATGTAGTTGCATAATTGACTTGGAAGGGTATTTTTGTCCAATTTTGGTCCCGAGTTTTGACCCACTATAAATAGATTTATTGGGGTTTTGTGGGGGCATCTTGTCTGGTTTTTGAGCTACAATCCAAGTCTTTAATATTCCTCTCTTTTGGAAGCTTTTGAAGGAAGAATCTTTCACTTTGTAAGCTTTATGGCATTAAATATTCTCATCCTTTTGTATTTTAGCATGTGTAGCTAACTTTAAATACTAAGGTTATGGATCCTAAATGGGTGTTATGTTAATGGGTGTTTAACATTGAATATATGTATAATGGTTGGTTGATATATATTTATTTATCATTCTTCATTTATTGTTGGTGGTTGCAAACATTAACAAGTGCCATTAAATTCCTTCTTTACTTGGAAAAGTGAGTTAGTGTGTTACGACTTACGTCAAGTAACACACTACTCGAGTAACCTTTTCATGCCTATTCCCTATGGGATTCGACCCCAACCTTGTTGGGTTATTATATTTGACACAGACCGCCTTACACTATTTAATTAAAGTGTAATTTGAGCGTATCAAATTTTGGCGCCGTTGATGGGAAATACGGTTTTGAAATTACTAATTAGTGTGTGCTTTACTTTACATCTTATTCTATTCCATCACACTTTGATTGTTTTGCTTGGTGTTGATAGGAGAACATGGCTGAATATGAAGAAGAAATGGAGGAACAAATGGAAGAAAATCCTTTTGCGGACATAGATGAGTACATCGAGGATACAAATGCTATTGTACCTCCGGTTGTTGGTGCTGCAACTTCCAAGGTGGAACATGGTTTAATCCTTATGCTCAAAGCGGAGGGGTTTTTCAGGAATTCCACTGATGATGATCCGACACTATATCTTAGAAACTTCTTGGGTATGTGTGCGATGCATAAGCAGAACAACATCTCTGATGATGCCCTAAGGTTGAGGGTGTTCAAGTACTCACTAGCTGGTGACGCAAGGAAGTGGCTTCAAAATATGCCACCAAACTCCATTCATTCTTGGCCTGAACTTGTCCGAGCATTCTTAGCTAAATGGTTCCCGCAAAGTAAGAAGTCTGAGCTCCGGGATAAAATTTTCTTTTTCAAGCAAGTACCGGGAGAACATCTACATGAGGCACGGGATCGATTCAAGTTATATTTGGTAAGGTCTCCCAACCATGGTTTTCCGGATTCTATCTTGTTGGAGAAATTCTACATGAGTTTGGATCCTATGTACCAATCTATAGACAAGAATGCAGCTGATGGATCTTTAATGGACAAATCATTCGCAAGGGTCACACAAATACTTGACAAAATGAAAAAACATATCCAAGCTTGGCACTCAGAGGACACCACAGGTGGAATTGCATATGGTTCTCCTTCCTTGACCACCATGATCAAGGAAAATCAAGAGAGAGATCAAGCGATTGCAGGGCTTGCCACAAATGTCAATGTGTTGACAAAGATATTCACCGAAAGCCAAACGAAGAAAGTAAATGTGGTGGAGGATGTGCAACCCATATCAAATGAAGACTTTGAGGAGGCAAACTATGTCAACAACTCTCAAGGAGGTTATCAAAGGCAACAATACCAAGGTCAAAGACAACAAAATCAATGGAGGCCTCACCCGCAAGGGCAAGACAACCAACAGTGGCGAAATGACCAAGGTGGCTCAAATCAAGGAAATTGGAATAACAACAACAACTTCTCAAATCGGAATTCAAACCCATATGTTCCTCCAAAGGGTCAATATTCAAATCAAGGTTCCTCAAGTGATTCCAAGTTGGAAAACATGCTTGAATGGGTATTGCAAAATCAAGAGAAGTTCGACATTTCTATGAGGAATATGACTGAGCTTGTTGGCTCTCATACCGCATCCATTCAAAAATTGGAGATGCAAATGAGAGACCTCTCTAGGGAGCAAAATCCTAAGCAAAAAGGGACACTTCCAAGTGACACAATTGCGAACCCAAAGGGTAGTGGGGGTGGTCCAACTTCTCATGTCATGGCAATTACTACTCGGAGTGGGAAGATACTACAAGGAGGGAGTGAACAAGTGGTTGAAGTTGAAGAGTCCGAACAAGAGATTAAGGTTGAAGAGCCAATTGTTGTTGAAAAAGGTTCCAGAAGAATTGAAAGTGCAAGAAGAAAACCGGGAAGAGGTAAAGGAAAAGGTAAAAGAGAAACCAAAAACTCTACCACCTATTCCTAGACCTCCTCCTCCATTCTCAAGCAATTATCGGTGAATATTCCATTTGTGGAAGCATTTCAAGAGATGCCGGGTTTTTCTAAATATTTGAAAGACTTGATTACCAAGAAGAGAACCCCCAAGAATGAAGTAGTGAATATGACTCACAGGGTTAGTTCCATCATTGCAACATCCACCGTTCAAAAGAAAGAAGACCCGAGAGCTTTCACTATTCCATGTACTATTGGGGCACATGATTTTGCAAGAGCCCTTTGTGATAATGGGGCTAGCATCAGCTTAATGCCTCTTGCCATATACAAGCAAGCAGGGTTAGGTATGCCAAATCCCACAAGTATGAGATTGCAAATGGCTGATCGTTCCATAAAGAGACCGGTGGGAATTGTTGATGATGTGCTTGTTAAAGTGGGAAAGTTTCATTTACCCGCCGATATCGTAATCCTTGATTGTGCGGTTAACAAAGAGATCCCTATCATTTTGGGGAGACTATTCCTAGCCACAAGAAGAGCACTAATGGATTCGGAATGGAATGAGATCAAATTCCGTGTGAATGATGAAGAGGTTACATTCCAAGCAAGCTAGGGTATGAAACTACCACATGAATATGAAAGCATCTCGGTGATTGATGTTGTTGATGAAGTGGAAGATGCGGTTGAAATGAAGATGGAAGAACAATGCCTCGGTGAGGCGTTGGCGGCTATTTTGGTGAACTTTGATGGTAAAGATATGGATGGGTATATGGAATCAGTCAATGCATTGGAGGGTCTTGGGTCCTACATTTATGCTCCGGCAAAGCTCTCTCTCGACTTGGAGAATAGAGCCCCTCCTCCTGCAAAGCCTTCTATTATTGAACCACAACAACTAGAGCTCAAACCACTTCCACCACACTTGAGATATAAATTTCTTGGCTCAAATGATACTTTACCGGTAATCGTCTCTTCTTTGTTGAATGATATGCAGGTAGAACAATTGTTGGAAGTCTTAAAGGAGCACAGGCAAGCTATTGGATGGACAATTGTGGACATCCGAGGGATTCCCGCCGGAATTTGCGAACACAAGATCTAATTGGAGAGTGAGACGAAACCAAGTGTGGAACATCAACGACGGTTGAACCCGTCCATGCAAGAGGTGGTAAGGAAAGAAATCATCAAGTGGTTGGATGTCGGGGTAGTCTACCCCATTGCCGATAGTTCTTTGGTGAGCCCGGTGCAATGTGTGCCGAAAAAAGAAGGCATGACCGTGATTGAAAATGATAAAAATGAGCTCATCCTAACAATAACGGTGACCGGATGGAGGGTGTGTATGGATTACCGGAAGCTCAACAGTGTCACGTGCAAAGACCATTTCCCTATGCCTTTTATTGATCAAATGCTTGATCGGCTAGCGGGAAGGTTATTCTATTGCTTAATTGATGAGTATTCCGATTGCAACCAAATCAATATAGCATTGGAGGATCAAGAGAAGACAACATTCACTTACCCTTATGGAACTTTTGCCTTTAGCCGGATGTTGTTTGGTTTTTGCAATGCTCCGGCTACTTTTCAAAGATACATGATGTCCATCTTCTCCGACACGGTGGAGGATTTTCTAGAGGTTTTCATGAACAACTTTTCGGTGGTAGGTGACTCTTTTGAGCATTGTCTCAACAACCTTAGACATGTGCTTACGAGATGTGAGGAGACCAACCTTGTGCTCAACTAGGAGAAATGCTATTTCATGGTAGATGAAGGCATTGTATTGGGGCATAAAATTTCAAAACATGGCATAGAGGTTAACCAGGCAAAGATCGAGATCATTTCCAAGCTTCCTCCACCTACTTCAGTTAAAGGTGTCAAAGGTTTCTTGGGGCATGCCGAATTGTATAGGCGTTTCATCAAGGATTTTTCCAAGATTGCAAATCCTATGTGCAAACTCCATGAGAAAGATGTAAAATTTGTGTTTGATGAGAAATGTCTCAAAGCCTTTGAGGAATTGAAGCAAAAGATCACCACGACACCTATTATTGTCACACCCGATTGGTCTCTTCCATTCGAACTCATGTGTGACGCCAGTGGTATAGCTATTGGAGAAGAGCTTGGCCAACGTCACAACAAGGTTCTTCACCCGGTCTATTATACAAGCAAGACATTCAATGGCGAGCAAATGAATTATATGGTGACTGAGCAAGAACTTCTTGACATTGTCTATGCCTTTGAGAAATTCCGGGCTTACTTGCTGGGATCCAAGGTGATAGTGTACACAGATCATGTCGTTCTTCGCTATCTTATGGAAAAGAAGGATGCAAAGCCTAGGTTGATTCGATGGGTCCTGTTGTTGCAAGAGTTTGACTTCGAAGTCAAAGATAGAAAGGGGACAGAAAATCAAGTGGCGGATCATTTATCAAGGCTTGAAGAGGTAGGGAGACCAAAGGGAGATCTTGAAATCAATGATGCTTTCCCAGATGAACACATATTGGCACTATCTACCACTGTTGCTCCTTGGTATGCCGATATTGCTAACTACTTGGTTAGTGACCTTATTCCGGATGGATTGGAATCCTATCAAAAGAAGAAGTTTTTGAGAGATTGTCGGCAATACTATTGGGAAGAACCATTCTTATTTCGTGTTTGTGCTGACAACATCATAAGAAAGTGTGTTCCAGAAGAAGAGATTATGCCAATTCTAAAGGCATGACACGACTCACCAGTTGGGGGTCATCATGGGGGAAATCGAAAGGTGGCTAAGGTGCTTGAATGTGGTTCTTATTGGCCGTCGATTTATCATGATGTCAATCAAATGGTCAAGGCTTATGACCAATGCTAAAGGCAAGGATCAATCTCCAAGAGGCATGAAATGCCAATGCACTTTGTGATGGAGATAGAAATCTTCGACGTGTGGGGAATTGATTTTATGGGTCCCTTTGTAAGCTCTTGTAGGATGAAATATATCTTGGTAGCTGTGAACTATGTGTCCAAATGGGTTGAAGCAATTGCCTTACCAAACAACAAAGCAAGGAGTGTGACCACATTCTTAAAGAAAAATATATTCACGCGGTTTGGCACTCCTAGAGCCATTCTTAGTAATGGTAGGTCTCATTTCTGTAACAGGGCATTCACGAGGCTACTAGAGAAATATGGCGTCAAGCATAAGGTGGCCACACCTTATTATCCCCAATCAAGTTGCCAAGTTGAAGTTTCCAACCGGGAGATAAAAAATATTCTAGCAAAGATTGTTAATGAAAACAAGACTGATTGGTCAAGGAAGTTAGATGACGCATTTTGGCCATACCGCACGACGTACAAAACTCCTATTAGCACCTCTCCGTATCGGTTATTCTTCGGCAAGGCTTGTCATCTACCCATGGAACTGGAGCACAAAGCCATGTGGGCTTTAAAGAGGTTGAACTTGGACTGGGCTGAAGTTACAAATTTTAGGTTAACACAACTCAATGAAATGGAGGAATTCCGTTTCCATGCATATGAAAGTGCAGCTGTGTATAAAGAAAGGATGAAGTTCGTCCATGACAAAAAGATCTTGAAAAGGGAGTTCAAGTCGGGGGACTTGGTTTTGCTCTTCAACTCAAGGCTCAAATTATTTCCAGGCAAGCTCAAATCGAAATGGTCTGGTCTGTTCAAAGTGGTCAATGTCTCTCCTTTTGGAGCTGTGGAATTAGAATCGTAGGATGGGCTCCGAACCTTCAAAGTAAATGGCCAGCGAGTCAAGCACTATTTGGGAACAGATGGAGAAAAATACTTGGTGGAGCAGTTAGCTCTCAGAGATGGTCCGTGCCCGACCAATGAGTGAACCCAAAGAAATGCCAACTTCTTCGTGCCACGACGTTAAATCAAGCGCTTCATGAGAGGCAACCCATTTGTGATAACACCCTTTTTTTTGTCCTTTGAATTTTAATTTTTGTTAGATAGATTTAATTGAGCAATTAAAGTGTGTGTTAGAGTGCATGGGATTCAAAAGATTATAACACTGGGTAAAATTGCGTGTGAAAAGGAAGAAAAGTCAACATGGGAAGTTTGCTACACATATGCGGTCACATTTTAACTATGCGGACAACATTGTGGTCGCATACCCTAACAGTTTGTTTGGAAAATTTGGTGGTAAGAATGTGGTGAAGAGGTGCACTTTGCGGATTGCATTTCAATTATGCGATCGCATAGTGCACCGCATTTTGTCCCTCAAGCAACTCAAGTTGAATCCACCGCATAACACTTATGCGGTCGCATAATGTGTTATGCGATGACTTACCCACCGCAAACCTCACAGGTAAGTACCCTCACATATCTTCAGCATTCACATACGTTCAAAACAAAAGAAAAGAATTATTTTTAGAAAGAAAACAAAACAAAACAAAACAAAAAAAGGGGCGTAAGGGGAAGGCAAAACTGCTAGTGAATCGAAAACGTAAGAAAAACACCTGAGAATTCATCTCCCAAGTGTGCTCGTCAATCCATCACTGGTATGTTCTTCCTTTCCTGCTTTGTTCCATGCCAATTTTTAGTTTAAATTGTATTATGTTGTCCTATTTTTGTTTCCTTTAGTTTTGTTCATGCCAATTTTTAGTTTAAATTGTATTATGTTGTCCTATTTTTGTTTCCTTTAGTTTTGTTCATGCCAATTTTTAGTTTAAATTGTATTGTGTTGTCCTATTTTTGTTTCCTTTAGTTTTGTTCCTTGTTCCTCTTTGTATGGTGGTATCTATTCATAATGTGAGGGGGGTATTGGATAGGTATGTATGTTTGGGGTGTTGGGTAGTGAAACTAGGGCAACCATTGTTGAGGGTTGAAGTCAACAGTTGAGAATGATGACTTCTGCGGACCGCATAATCGATTTGCGGTCTGCATTGTTGCCGCAAAAACGAACCATAGGTGGCTGAAGAAGATGATAAAATACGGCGAATTTGCGATCGCATAATTGATATGCGGACCGCAAAGTCACCGCATACTGAGATAGTTTCAATGGTTTTGTAGCATGTTGTTTGCGGCCATTTTGCCATCGCAGATCCATCTTTGTAGTGGACTTTGCGATCGCATAATGTGTTTATGTTTTCCAAGAATATAAGTATGCGATAGTTATGCAAACCGCATAATGAATATGCGATCGCATAACCCATCGCATAACTATATCATTTCAAGAGGCAGAGAGTTTGCGACAAGTTTGCGGTCTGTATAGTAGTTATGCGACCGCATAACCCGACACATACTTGAACTATTTTGTATTTTTGCTATTTTGTTTTCATTGTTGCCTACCATGTGGGTTGAGAAGATAGAGCGGGGTGAGGTTGGTGACTTGCCAAAGCTCCGGGAGGATGTTTCCACCATGAAGACTGAACTCCACAAAATGCAAACTCTGGAGTTCGATCTATCATCCTTCCTGCCCAAGGAAGGTGAGCGGGGAGCAGACACAACAATGGATGGATTGGATCTTGACTTCTCCACACTGATGACAGACACTGCACCTCAAACTGCCGGAGCTTCCCAGCCTCCAGCTCCCCCTACACGTATTGACATTCCTTCTGAGGAAGATTTCGGACACTCGGCAGAGTCCGAAGGTGGGGAGGCAGACGAGGGAGATATGATGAGGAGTCATGG